CCCCGCCGGGGTGGCTCAGTGGTTGAGCATCAACCCATGAACCAAGAGGTCACCAGTTTGATTCCCGGGTTTCGGCCTCGCTCCCTAGTAGCGGACGTGCAGGAGGCAGGCAATCCATGTTTCTCTCTCATTGAGCATCCCTGTGGGTTAGGGCAGAGATACGATTGGAGTCAGCTTCCCGCTCCCCCCTTCCCACACCCTCCCACCATGTCTGCTGAGAATACGTGGAAAATGGTATTCTCAGGTGCCGTCGGGGTCGCTTTAGCCAGCTGTGTCCTTGGTGTGGCATCCCTGCGCCTTTCCCTGTGCTGGACCTAAAATCCTATCTCAGGCGCACAGGCCCCCACTTTCGTGTACAGGTGTAGGATGGGTCTTATCCACGAGGGACAAGAGGGGAATGGGTGACCTTGGTCCTTTCCAATCCCTCCCCTAAGACTGAAGTCATGGACCCAGAGCCACTTGGTTTCTGGCCAATCTTACTGGTCAACCAAATTCTGAGGTCCACCCATTCATATCCAATGCATAGATGTCAAATTCCATTTTTTGTTGTTCCTGGCACTGTGTGAGTTAATATGAAAGGTATTTGTTTGTTTGTTTGTTTGTTAAATATATCTTTATTGATTTCAGAGAGAGGAAGGGAGAGAGAGAGAGAAAAACATCGACGACAGAGTCATTGATCGGCTGCCTCTTGCACGCCCCCCACTGGGAATTGAGCCCGCAACCTGGGCATGTGCCCTGACCAGGAATCCAACCGTGATCTCCTGGATCATAGGTTGAACCTCAACCACTGAGCCACATCGGCCAGGCAAGGCTTGACTTTTAGCCCTAAGGAGGTCACTGTCTGCCTAATAAAGTTGGTGTATGTTAAACAATAGGCCGGAGAGGCAGTCACAGCCGGAGTGCAGAACCAAGGGGTAGGGCCTGCTGAGGACACAGTAGCCCAGCAGGGTCAGGGATGGGGGAGCACTTACGTTCACTTATCCAGCAAATGCTGGTCACAGCTGCACTGATGAGGCAGGATCAGGATGGGCCTCAGAGCATGACATGGAGACGAGCATGGCCCTGCCCTGCCTGGCTGTAAGTCTAGCAAACCGACCTTGGTTTTAGGGTCAGCTTCAACAACCCCTGGGACTCTTACAGCACAGTCACTGGAAAGTGAGGCCTCATGAGACAGAAAAGGAGAGGTACCTGGCCCAGCCATCATGGCTCGGCGGTTGAGCATCAACCTATGATCTAGGAGATTGTGGTTCGATTCCCGGCCAGGGCGCGTGCCCGGGTTGCAGGCTTGATCCCAAGCAGGGGGCAATCATGCAGGAGGCAGCCGATCAATGATTCTCATCATTGATGCTTCTATCTCTCTCCCTCTCCCTTCTTCTCTCTGAAATCAATTAAAAGGAGAGAGAGAGATATCCATGACCCTTCCCCCAGGCTTTTTCTTTATTTAGTATTAGTCCCTTCCAGTAGTGTGCTGGTAAGCCCACTCTCAAAAAGGGAGGGAAAGAAAATGCCTTCATTTTCAGTGTTAGCTGATTTGATGGTATAAATGCTCCCATCGATTTTGAGCTACCCGCACAGCATCACTGACCATGCCATTGGGAGGAGATGTTTAAAACAGGCCCTGGAGAGCTGGTGCAAACCAGCCGCAGCACACCTCTGGTGCTGGGGACTTGGGAAGGGGAGACCCTGGTAGGCTGCACATGGACTGTGACCTTCCCAGAGTCACACGCTGTACTGACGGGTTGGCATGAATCAATACAGCCATGCACATCACAAGCAAGTGATGCACATACATCTCTAGATGAGATGCATTGAATGCAAGACAGTTATGAGCCACGTCAGAGGGATATGCACCTCAGAGGGATGTGCACCTCATAGGTGCTCAACAAATGTGAGCCTCCAGGCTTACCCCTTGTCTCTTGGAGGCCTGGAGTTGGAGAAATGCTTTCTGAGGTGCTTAAATTTCACATTTGTCCATTCATTCATTCATTCAGCAGATATTTCCTGATGGCTTCTCTCTGTGCCTGGCCCTCTGCTGGGGCCAGGGAGACAGTGAGGACCAAGACAGACGTGGCCGCTGCCCCCTAGAGCTCACAAACACGGAATGATGCCGGCCAGACCCCTTGAACCAGCTCAGGTCCTGGCTCCATCTCCAACTTGCTGTGTGGCCTTGAGCAAGTCACTTACCCTCTCTGGGCCTCAGTTTCTTCACCTGTAGAACGAAGGAGTTAGACTTAATGTTCACACAAGTCTATCCAAGCTCGATCTTCTGTGGCTCTGGGGAGGGAAAAGAGGTCTAGAAGCCCCATGAGAAAGAACTGGAAGAATTGGGAACATCTTCAGGGGGGAACAGCAGACGGGAGAGCAGATTGGACCCCTGAAGATCTGTCATGAGTCTCGTGAAAGAGGAGTAGGCATGTTAAGTGTGGTCCCTAAGGGTGGAAATTATAATGGGGTTGGGTCACTTTGACCCCATCTTGGAAGAACTTGAACACCCTGAGAGCTGCCCGGCCATGGCACAGGCTACCTAGGGAAAGAATCAATACCTTCCACTTGATCCGAGGCTGAAGAGCTCGGCCTCATGGACAGGATCCCTGGCAGGGAGGTTGTGACCGTAAAACCCCATGCTCATCAGTTCTGAAGGAACAAGAAAAGGCCATCTGGGCCCTAGCAGGTTTGGCTCAGTGGTTGGAGCATCGGCCTGCAGACTAAAGGACCCTGGGTTTGATTCCTGCCAAGGGAATGTCGTACCTCAGTTGCTGGCTCAGTCCCTGGCTCCGGTCAGGACAAGTGCAGGAGGCAAGCAATGGATGTGTCTCTCTTTCATTGATGTTTCTCTGTCTCTCCCTTCCACTCTCTCTGAAAAGCAATGAAAAAATATCCTCAGGTGAGGATTTAACAAAAAAAAAAATCATCTGGTCCACTGCGTTACCTGGGAAAAAGCAAATAGAACACAAAAAGGTGACAATTCCGTAAAACACAGGCGAATGCCATAGGAAAGACACTGGGAGGAAAACCATCAAAACACAAAGAGCGGTTGGATTGGGATTGAGGATTATGGCGATTGGTGTGAAAAAGTTTTATTCTTTGCGGAAAGTCATCTAGGCCCGCCCTCCCCTCCCAGGACAAGGAGCCTCCCGACAACCGCTCGCCTCTCTCTAGGTCCCCACGTGTCCTCAGAGAGGCTCACCCAGGCCTGACACCTGGGAGCAGGGAGGAAACCGGCTTCAATGGATGCCTGCTGAGCGCCAGACCCCGGTGCTGGGGACCTAACCAGACATGGCCCCTGCCCTCAAGGAGGGTGCCTGATGGCCCAGCCTCTCGCTCCGTCTTTAAAACAGCCATGGGGGCGGGTCCAGCGAGTGGCTGAGCCAGAGCCAGGACCCAGGTCTAGGGGCCTTCCCTTTACTTGGAAAGGAATTCAAGGGGAGCAGCTAGGCCCCCCCATTCAGTCCTCTAATTTGATGGCATAGAGGTCAAGGCTCAGGCCAGGTTGGCAACTATGGGACACAGTCTAGCTACTGAGGAGATGAGGGTTTCCCTGTTTCTAACTCTGGGTCTCTCTCCCTCCCTCTTTCTCCCTCTTTCTCTCTCTCTCTCTCTCTCTCTCTCTCTCACCAGCATTCACATCCTGCCCCCCAAGCCTTTCTTTCACTTCATCACAGGCGCCCCCTTTCCCCTTCCTCTGCCCCAGGTACAGTCCCCTCACCACCAGCTAATTCTGCCCCGCAGAGAAAGGCCTCGCTGTTGACGGGCTGGCAAAGTCCATTCCTCACATAAAAGACTGAGTGAGTTCTGCAGACACTTGGAACCCGGACAGAATGGAATTTCTCCCCTATTTTCTTTACAGCTAAGAAAACACACACAAACACAAGAGCATATTTATTGCGATATTTCTATCCCAAAGTTTGTCTTTAAAAAAAAAAAAGAAATAAAATTAGTTTTTCTCCCCACTCCACCCACGCCCCCCCGCACACACCCCATCCCAAATCCTCTCCCTTTTTCATTCCTGGTCGAGGAGACCAGGGAGGAAAACAGAGTGGGCCCAAGCCCCACAGAGAACCGCAGCATCCTGGGCACTGTCTGGCCATGACTGATCACCCTGGGCCTGAACAGGGAGGGCCACAACCCAATGGCCCCTCACAGAGCCAGAACCTGGAGCCACGGACTTTTTTTGAGGGCAACATCTAAGGAGGAAAGCCCCCGAGGAGAAGCAAGGGGCTGCCTCTTAGGCCTTTGGGGTTTTCCAGGCTTCCTGCAGTGTGAGGAGACACGCCACGCCTCCCACATTCGCCTCTGTGCCCCCAGCAGCATCCTGACGGGCAGCCCTTTCATCTCTAGGGTGACATAGAGGGTGTCTCCAAAGACATGGATGCACACTTTGAGTAATTATTCATTCCAGTGGGATACATCTGAAAAGAAAGAAACATCAATTGAGCTGTCCGCTGTTAAAGTATGTGTACATTTTGGGGGACACCCTGTGTATCTGGAATGAATGAAGGATCATGCTGGAAAGATCACTCAAAACAACAGGCCAGAGTCACCCAAGAGGGTCCCCCAGAGTCCTGGGCCGGGACCGCCTCTCCCCCAAGCATTCCTGGCATGGGCACCCCAGTCTGGATGTGGAATCCTGCCCAGCTGATAGTGGCTGAGCCAACAGCGCCACCTGCTGGGCCAGCTGACTCTGATGGCCGAGGTCGGGGAGGGAAGCCCAGGCCCAGCCTCAGCTGAGAGTTACCCCATTCTTGTCTTTGGTTCCAGATCCTCCCTCCCCTCCCAGGCTTCCCCCGTCCTCCCTGTGGACTGTCTGGGATGCAAACGTGTCCTAAACCAAGACCAACGGCTCACAGACTGGAGAGGGGGGCGAGGGAGGTGCCAACGCAGGTCCATGCAAGAGCAGGACCAGGAAACAGCATCGGGGCACGTGCGACATGTGTCGCCGTGTGTCCTGTGACACGTGACCCTCCTCGACCTCCCTGCATCCGAACCCACAAATAACCCTCCTGCCTCCCCTCTCTTCCAGGTGAACTATGACCACTTTACTCTGGGTGTGTGTTGCTGTGAGGGTCATGGCCGCTGCAGCCGTCTCCATAGAAATCTCAGGTGAGGACATCGCCGCGCCTGTCTCGTTAGCCCAGCAGGGACTAGGGACTGGGTTCTGGGCTCTGGGCTCTGGGCACCGCACCCGGTGCTGCTTGTCCTGCCCTTTTCCCTCGGCCTTTCCCCTTTTCTGTCAAATTCGATCTGGGGTGTGAGGCTGGGATTCACCGGTCCCCTTGCCATGCACAAGCAGTGATGGGAAAAGAAAGGGCCCAGCTCCACCACCACCACCACCCGGACACTACATCCTGATGCCAAATTCTCAGGAACCCAAGAATTCTACGTGTGAATCCCGTGTTTCGTTTCAGGAGGTTTCCTTGTCTCATAGGAAGATGGGACCTATTTTATTTAGCAATCTGCCCGCTTGAGTTGTAACCCTTAAATATTTAGACGTAGGGTATCTGGGTCTCCACGTGGCCTCTTGCTCTGGGACCTACAGAGATCCAGCCCCTGGCTGGAACCTGCTGTGTTTTACCCACACAGACAAACCAGTTCACTAGAGCTGGTTGAAAGCTTTAAAAACTGCAGAGCTGGGCACCGCCGTGACTCTCAGCTCTCCCTGAGGGACCACCGCCTCTAAAACCACTCTGTGTCATGGAGCATTCAAAGGGAGATTTGTGTGGAAGGGCCTGGTGGTGACTGCCCAGGACATCAAAAGGCTAGGGCTGGACCCCAAACATTCCTGGCTCCCCCATTCCTTGCCCTGTTATGTACCTATCACCCACAAATATCTGAAACATTTTTATGTTCAACCTGTAACCTGTCCTGGAGAAAAGGTCCCCTAAGCATACGATTCACCATGAAAAGTGCTTTTTTTTTTTTCCCCCTAAAGCTGTTTCTTTCCTGTACCAAGGAGACCTTTACTTTTAACAGGATTTGGTGAACCGCTGCATCTTCCCCATGAACACGCTCTATGATTTTTTTAAAAATATGTTTTTATTGATTTGAAAGAGAGAGGGAGGGAGGGGGGAGAGAGAGAGAGAGAATTAGCTGCCTCCTGCACGCCCCCTACTGGGGATGGAGCCCACAACCCCGGGCATGTGCCCTGACCGAGAATTGAACCTGCGACCTCTCAGTGCATGGGAGGCGCTCAACCAACTGAGCCACATCGGCCAAGCTGTTGGCTTTAAAAGTTTTGTGGATTATTTTTGTTTCTTCCTCATAATAATTTTAATACCCCCAAATAATTTTTCCCCGAGTCTTTGAGTCAACTGTCACTCCAGAAAGATGGGTCCTGTTTATCCGATGGCTTGGCATCCCCTAGGGCACCTTAGTTTGAGAAACAGAGAGGTGGTCTGGACTCTGGAGTTCCCCCTGCACGTATCTGGCCCCATAGTTCCTGTCCTGAGGTGCACACCCAGGGTTCTTGAGTTCGGAACGCTGCTCTGGACAGGGTGTTGCAGGGATTCCTGGGAATTCCATAGGGTGCAGGAGTGTCCCCAGCACGGACACACAGGCTCATTGGGTTCCACCGGGGGGGCTGGGTGGTCCTCTCCAGGCACTACTAACAGGTGTGTCTCCCCCACAGACCCTGACAACTCGCTGAGTGTCAGCATCCCCGAGCCGTCCCCACTGCGGGTCCTTTTGGGGACCTCCATCACCATCCCCTGCTATTTCATCGACCCCATGCACCCTGTGACCACCGCCCCCTCCACCGCCCCCCTCACCCCGAGAATCAAGTGGAGCCGCATTTCCAAGGAGAAGGAGGTGGTTCTGTTGGTGGCCACGGAAGGGCAGGTGCGGGTGAACAGTGCCTACCAGGACAAGGTCTCGCTGCCCAACTACCCGGCCATTCCCAGCGATGCCACCTTGGAAATTCAGAACCTGCGCTCCAATGACTCCGGGATCTACCGCTGTGAGGTGATGCATGGCATCGAGGACAGCGAGGCCACCCTGGAGGTCGTGGTGAAGGGTGAGTTCCCCCCCCCAGGGATCCTGGTTCCCCTGCAGAAAGAACCAAATGCCATCCTACCCGTGTGGACCCAGACAAGCTGGCTCTCAAGTCCCAGCTCTTCCTTCCTCCCCCTTCCGTTAGCACCTCCATCAACTTATTCAACTTCAAATGTAACAGAGCTAATGATATTCTTTCTGCATTTGGCGGGGATTGACTATTTCCTGGCCACAGTCACATGGAGATGACGGTTGGTGCTTTGCCATGACCCTGTGATTCCGTGGGCCGTGGGATCATCCCCATTGTACAGACAGGCTCACTGAGGTTGAGCAACTTGCCTGGAGTTTCCCCAGGACATGAACCAGAGCAGCCTCCTGGCTCTTCATTCGGGTGTCTTTTCCCTCCTCTGTCACCCCACTCCACCCCCATTTTCATGTCCAGAAGCCAAAGAAACGGACGGAGACACCCCAGTGCCCTTTCTCTCTGTGGCCCAAGGAGCATGGTTGTGTCCTTTGGGCTTCAGTACTTTGGTCAGCACCAGATTTTTCCTGTTGGGAGGCCCTATCAAAGACGATCCACTCCTAGGGGTGCCACAAACAGGGTTCCCACCAGATTCTGCTGGGCTGAGGGTGCCTGGGCTCTAAGTGTCTCTTTCCTCAACGCAAATGTGGGGGTCCTGGAGTGACAAGAAAAAATTATAAGGAGGCAGCTTTTAGTTCAATTTAGAGAACTTTCTGATTATCAGAATTATCATAGGTATTCAAAAGAGATACCTTGTGAGGTAGTGAGTTCCCCGTGACTGGAGGCATCCCAGCAAAGGCAGAAAAGCCACATGCACATGTGGAAAGGGGATTAGCGGGTCAGCTAGCGGCCCAGACTGTGAGGCCCCTTTGACTGCGGCAGTGATTCTGCGAGGACCTCAGTGATGGGGGGCTGTGCCTGACATGCTCTCCGGCCCGCACGTGTCTTGCAGGCATCGTGTTCCATTACAGAGCCATCTCCACGCGCTACACCCTGGACTTTGACAGGGCGCAGCGGGCCTGCCTGCAGAACAGTGCCATCATTGCCACGCCCGAGCAGCTGCAAGCCGCCTACGAGGACGGCTTCCACCAGTGCGATGCCGGCTGGCTGGCCGACCAGACTGTCAGGTGAGCCCCCAGGCCACTGGCCGAGCGCAGTGGAGGATGGGCTGGAACTGGACGGGTGACCAGTCCCAGATCCTCATATTGTCCTGCGGCAGAAAGAGTGGCTGCTGCTAGCAGCTTTGCCCTATGGGAGCATCTGTCCGTGCAAATTACACACATATCATCGGGTTCTTCCAAAACTGAAAATATTCACTCTCTGGCCTTTTACAGAAAAGGTCTGCACGCCCCTGATAGGACATATTTGGTGCCAGTCAATAAAGGGGCCACCTTTGATCACCAGTAGCTATGAAAATGCGTATTTCCGTAAAGCGAGAGAAAAACCTGTAAAAACAAGCAGTCCACACATGCGGGGTAGGCACCGGCAAAAAGCATCAGTAGGTCACCGCTTCCTCCCACCAGAGGAGAATGGGAGGGCACAGCCCCCCGCCCCCCCGTCCCCTAGGGAAACACCCCGCTTTGGGTTCCTGGCAGGTACCCCATCCACGTTCCTCGGGAAGGCTGCTACGGGGACAAAGACGAGTTCCCGGGCGTGAGGACCTACGGCATCCGCGACACCAATGAGACCTACGACGTGTACTGCTTCGCGGAGGAGATGGAGGGTGAGGCCACCCTGCCCCCTTCCCAGGAGCCCCCTTCCTGTCCCCCTACTGACACTCGGGATCTGGGGCAGGGCGCTAACCCAGGGCACCACGCTCTCTACCCCCTCTACCAGGCCAGGAGAGGGTGGGGCTCCAGGCCTCAGTGGCCCCAAGCTCCTGCAAACGGGTGCCACCGCTTTGTCACTGGTCCCTCACCCAGCACTACCCCTCCCAGCCAGGACCCCCAACTGCTCTGACCTGCCATCGCTGTCCCAAGTTAGAATGCGCTGGAGACCTGGTGGAACCGCGTGGACCTCCCTGGGGGCATGGGCCGGGGGCAGGGCAAGGGGCAGAGGGAGATGCTCACTGCTGCTGTGTCCTTGTCAGGCGAGGTCTTCTATTCGACATCTCCGGAGAAGTTCACCTTCCAGGAGGCTGCCAACGAGTGCCGGCGGCTGGGCGCCCGGCTGGCCACCACGGGCCAGCTGTACCTGGCCTGGCAGGGCGGCATGGACATGTGCAGCGCCGGCTGGCTGGCCGACCGCAGCGTGCGCTACCCCATCTCCAAGGCCCGGCCCAACTGCGGGGGCAACCTCCTGGGCGTGAGGACCGTCTACCTGCACGCCAACCAGACGGGCTATCCCGACCCCTCTTCCCGTTACGACGCCATCTGCTACACAGGCACGGCTGGGGCTGGAGGCCGGGAGGGAGGAGGGGGTCACGCCAGCAAAACTGGGGCCCAGAGGAAGAGATCTGGGAATGGGGGGCTGTTTTTTTACCCCGTCAAGGGGCCACTGGGTGCCTGAACCCCATGTTTTAGCACCCCCCGTTTCCACAGGTTCCTAGGAGAGCCAAGGTAGAGGAGATGGAGGCTGGAGGGTATCTGGCCCTGGTCTCATCAGCCCAGAATGGGCTAAAAGCATGAGCCTTAGAGTCTGTGTTTCCTCAGGTTTGACTTTAAGCTCTGCCATCTGCTACTGTGCAACCATAGGCCAGCCAAGGCCTTGAGCCTCAGTTTTCTCATCCATCTAATGGGGAGGTGGTGGCACCACATGGAAGATGGTGGGGCCCGACGTGAGACCACGTCCCCATGGGGGGGCTCTGTTATCGGCCCTTGCACTGGGATTCACGTCAAAGGAGGGCCAGTGTTACTGAAAAGAGTAGGGGGCGGGTCCAGTGTCACCCCAATAAATTCAATAAAAAGGGGAAAAATAAATAGATCATGTCAAAAAAAAAAAAGAAAGAAAAGAGAGGAAATTTTTGAAAATTTAGACTAAAAGTTTTTTATATTTTACACCATCTGGGCAATAATTACAATTAAATGCTAATTCTTGGAGGGACAAAAGAAACAATGATACGGCGTTGCATCAATTTTAGGACAACAGTGGTGATTCATATTGAGGTTCGCAGCCCAATCTTCCATGAAAAGTGTTATTTTTGCAAAAATAATTAAGGTTTCCCCTAAAGCCCCCCGTCGTCCTTTCAGTATCCCAGCCACCCTTTTCAAAGTCCTTGCGCCCTCGTGGATTTTCTCTTTGTTAATGATTATCTGGCTCGTTTCTGCCAGACCCTCAGATGGTCATGGGTAGTTCTCTCATGTTGCATCGATTTCATGAGCTCCCGCATCTTTGGCGAGATTTTCCAGTTTCCTTTATAACAGACTTACATTGTCCCATTGGCTGGTGCTCAGAAGATGGGTAAGGGGGCGACTGGCATTGACCAGGAAGAGATGTTGGAGCCGGACTCACTTTATAAGCAGTGAGATGATCGGTCACTATCTTATGCTATGATAACTTTGCATTCTCTTGCAATCTGAAAACTGTGGGGTCTCCAAAATGAATAGTCACATAGAATGACGACCCCAAAATGGGCCCAGCAAGGTGCCAGGCCAGGCATGCAATGGGTGCTTTCTTTCCATAGCAGTGAAAGAGATGGGGCCGACGCTCTCCTTTCCCCCGTCAGCCCCAGGATGAGCAGCTAACACTTGTCTTTGTCCCTGACCCAGGTGAAGACTTTGTGGATATCCCAGAAAATTTCTTCGGGATGGGCGGTGAAGAAGACATCACCGTGCAGACAGTGACCTTGCCCGATGTGGAGCTGCCCTTGCCGCGGAACATCACCGAGGGCGAGGCCCGAGGCAACGTGATCCTCACGGTGAAGCCCATCTTCGGCGCCTCCCCGACGGCCCTGGAGCCCGAGGAACCCTTCACGTTGGTCCCCGACCTAGAGGCCACCGCCTTCCCTGGGGCTGAGAATGAGACTGGAGAAGCCACCAGGCCCTGGGCCTCTCCTGGGGAGTCCACGCCTGGCCTGGGCCCCTTCACCAGCGAGGACCTGGTCGTGCAGGTGACCGCAGCCCCAGGGGAAGCTGAGGTGCCCGGCCAGCCACGATTGCCAGGCGGTAAGTGCTCAGTCCTTGGGGATGTAGGGGAAAGAATTTGGCCTGGAGATCTTATACCTTCAACTTAACCTGGGACCTGAGACCAGCCTCTCCCCTCTCAGATTCCCTTCTCCGTATTTGTAAGACAAAGGGGATAGGTCAGGCCAGTGAGATCCATGCTCTTTTGCCACCAAGCATTTCCTACCATTGAAGTCATAGGTGGGAGCTCGTGTATGTATCAGGCAGGTAAAGGTGCCCACGGGGTCTAGGTGAAGGAGAGTGGAAAACGGGGGCTCCTCACCCCATCAGGCACCTCCACAGGATAGAACCACTGAGAACCGCCACACGGGGTGACCCGGGAGCCTGTCACAGCACTGACCCTCAATGACTGGGGTCTGCAAACTGCAGCGCACAGGCCAAATCCAGCTGGCCCCCTGTTTTTATACTAAGAATGGAATTAACGGTTTTAAATAGTTGGGAGGTGGGGAGTCATAAGAAGATTTTGTGACACATAATGAGAATTATATAAAATTCAAGTTNTGCAAACTGCAGCGCACAGGCCAAATCCAGCTGGCCCCCTGTTTTTATACAGCTCATAANTGACCCTCAATGACTGGGGTCTGCAAACTGCAGCGCACAGGCCAAATCCAGCTGGCCCCCTGTTTTTATACTAAGAATGGAATTAACGGTTTTAAATAGTTGGGAGGTGGGGAGTCATAAGAAGATTTTGTGACACATAATGAGAATTATATAAAATTCAAGTTTCAATGTCCACATGGCCTGGAAATAGGATAGGAAGGAGGGATGAAGGGAAGCAGTTCCTCAAGAAGCCAGAGCTCCCTCCACGCCCACAAAACCTTGAGAACTGGCCCTGTGGGCACCGGCATTGTGGTGCACAGTCCACGCCCTGAGTCTGCTCTGTCTCTCCTTCTTTCCCTCCCCTCCCCACACAGGAGTTGTGTTCCACTACCGCCCTGGGTCCACCCGCTACTCGCTGACCTTCGAGGAGGCCCAGCAGGCCTGCCTGCACACTGGGGCAGTCATCGCCTCACCCGAGCAGCTCCAGGCCGCCTACGAAGCCGGCTACGAGCAGTGTGACGCCGGCTGGCTGCAGGACCAGACCGTCAGGTAAGGGAAATCGACCAGGCTCCCCTCCCAGCCCCAACCCAACCTGGGGAGGTCAGGCCAGGGGAGCCACAGCCTGGCTCTGGACCCAGGACAGGGTGGGCACCTGCTACGCTGCAAGTTAATTCATTAATCTGAGTGCTCCCTTAATCTCTCCCCTAGAACTAAAGCATATTCAGAGAGGGTGACATTAAGTCCTAGGTCATGCCCCGCAGTCCCTTCCAGCTTGACCCAGTGCTGTTCCACGCACCAGGCTCTCTTCTGAAGCCAGGAGTTCCCGAGGGGCCCCCAGACCTTNTTCCACACACCAAGCTCTCTTCTGAAGCCAGGAATTCCCGAGGGGCCCCCAGTATGAGGGGCTTCTTCCTTGTTTGAATCCCCCCAGACAACCGGAGACCCTCCCTGCCTGAGTCCCCAAGTGGCCCACCACCCTCACCTGGCATCCCCCACCTGGGAACAGGCCCTCATATGCCCCTCCCACCCTCCTTTGCAGGTATCCCATTGTGAGCCCAAGGACCCCATGTGTGGGTGACAAGGACAGCAGCCCCGGGGTCAGGACCTACGGTGTGCGCCCACCCTCGGAAACCTATGATGTCTACTGCTACGTGGGCAAGCTCGAAGGTACAGGCACTGTTCTCACATTCTGGACCCCAGGTGGGCAGGGAGCTGTCAAAGAGACACAAAAAGGAGGCGGAAATCCACCACACACACACACAGACACACACACACACACACTTGTCTGTGGATAAATAAATCTACTATTTTAATATCCACCATCTGCCTCTTAGAGAGCCCCAGGGTCCATGAACAAAGCAAAGGCCCTGAGAAGTCCTGCAGTAAAAACAAACAACAAAATCTCTTTAACTCTGCTTAACCAGTCACAGGTCTTTTACTTTTGTTTTATCTCATTAGTTTTAATTTCAATTAAAATCACCCTGTTGCTATTCCACTGAACCCAATTTTGAAAATGCTGGTATCGCCCAGCCAGCATGGCTGGTATCGCCCAGCCAGCATCGACCTAGGATCCGGGCAATCACAGTTCGATTCCCAGTCAGGGCACATGCCCGGGTTGTAGGCTCGATCCCGAGCAGGGGGCGTGCAGGAGGCAGCCCATCAATGACTCTCTCATCATTGATGTTTCTCTCTCGCTCCCTCTCTTTGAAATCAATAAAGACATATTTTTTTAAAAAAGAGAAAAGAAAATGCTTGTATTCTGGGAAGACTTCAGCATTGTCACTCACTTGTCCCACACCCTGAGTCAGTTATTTAACCTTTCTAGGCTTAAGTCTCCTCATCTGTAAAACAGGGCTGATTTATGCTTAGATCAGGAGCTTTTTTGAGTAGTAAGTGAAACACATATGAAAAGTGCCTTACACGAGTAGGTATTCAGTAAATGTGAACTTCCTTCCCCCTTAAATCAGACGGGGCCCCCAGGAACAGTTCTGGGTGCTGGGACCCAATCCCCAGCAGCAGTTACGGGGCCCGGCTGCCACGCTCCATGAGTTCATGGGGGCGGGGTGGGTGCAGGTACAGAGCGTTCACAGTGCTCGCTGACAAGTACTGTGGTGTAGGGGACCACAGCGGGGTGCGGGGGTGCCCCGGGGGGTTCCTATCTTAGCCAGGGGAATGACATACCTGAGGGTGACTGAAGAATTTAGGAGGCAAGGAGGGACTGTAAGTGACCAAACTTCTCAATGTGGCTGCAACTTTGCTGATTTCAGCACTGAAAGTCCCAACTCCAACCTTGCTGGTTTGGCTCAGTGGTTAGAGCATCAGCCCACAGACTGAAGGGTCCCAGTTTCGATTCCAGCCAAGGGCATGTACCTCAGTTGCAGGCTCCATCCCTNGCATCAGCCCACAGACTGAAGGGTCCCAGGTTCGATTCCAGCCAAGGGCACGTTCCTCGGTTGCAGGCTCCATCCCTGGATCCATTCGGGGCTCATGCAGAAGGCAACCAATCAATGTTTCTCTCTCTCTCTCTCCGAGAAAGCANTGGATCCATTCGGGGCTCATGCAGAAGGCAACCAATCAATGTTTCTCTCTCTCTCTCCCCTTTCCACTCTCTCTGAGAAAGCGAAGGAAAAAATATCCTCGGGTGATGATTAAATTAAATTAAATTAAATTTTTTAAAAATGTCCCAACTCCTGGGACACCCCAGTGGGTCACCCTACTTCCCAGTGTCCCAGGACATCCAAGGGGAAGTGGTCACAGAGGGGCATATTTGGGCTGGGTGAGGGCTTTAATCTTCCCCTGCCATGGCAGGTGTCCCACCCTTCCTGGGCAGAGGGAGGGTGTGGGCAGAGGGAGCCCTGGCCATGGACGTGAAGACTCACCCCTGCCACCTGCCTCTGCCCCCAGGGGAAGTGTTCTTCGTCACACGCCCGGAGCAGTTCACCTTCCAGGAAGCCCTGGAGTTCTGCAGATCCCACAACGCCACGCTGGCCTCCACCGGCCAGCTCTACGCTGCCTGGAGCCTCGGCCTGGACAAGTGCTATGCCGGCTGGCTGGCTGACGGCAGCCTCCGCTACCCGATCGTCACCCCTCGGCCGGCCTGTGGCGGGGACAAGCCAGGCGTGAGGACCGTCTACCTGTTCCCCAACCAGACCGGCCTCCTGGACCCACTGTCCCGGCACCATGCCTTCTGCTTCCGAGGTTTGTGCCCTCCCGTCTCCTCCAGCCCCCACTTCTGCATGGGGTCGGGGGGTGACTCCTTGGGGCTGACCCCTCCTGGCCCCTGTCCACTCTCCCCACCCATCAGAGCGAGGAAGAGAAAGTCAGTCCCTCTGGGTCAGGGGCAGCTCTGGAGTTAGCATGACCTCTGGAGTTAGCTTTGACCTCAAGGCAAATGCATCTTTCTGAGGTTCCCCAGAGACAAGTACGGAGAAGTGAGTACGAACTTGGGCTCTAAAATCAGGCAGAGGGTGAAGGGGGTCCGAATATATGGTGACAGGAGAAGATATGACTTTGGGTGGTGGACACACAGTGCAATATACAGATTTTGTAACATAGAAACCCACACCGGAAAACTATATGTTCATATTAACCATTGTCACCCCCATAAATCTAATTAAAAAAATAAAATAAAATCAGGCAGGGCTGAGTTTTAATTACGACTCTGCTGCTTTAGTAGCTGTGTGACCCTGGGCAAGTCACTTAACCTCTCAGTTCTTCTGCTTCATCTATAAAATCGTGATATAGCTGCTGTCAGGATGAACTGGGATAGTGCAGAGAAAACTCTTGGCAGAGTGCCTGGGACACAGTAAGTGCTTAATAAATATTAGCCTTCTTGTCACAAATAATGTGTCCACCCTTATCAAACTCGCCCCTGCTTGTAAGTATTTTTGAGATGCTTTTATTTGAGTTATCCCATCGTTGCTCAGTAAGCATCAGCAATTCGTGTATTTAATGGACCCAGGCTGCTGAGGACACAGTGCCAGATACTTGGTTGGGTTCAAAGATCTGCCACGTATGAGCCTCTGACTTTGGGCAAGTCGCTTCATTCTGTGCCTTAGTTTCCTCATCTGTAAATGAAATAACAGTACCTATCTGCTAAGGCCATTAAGGGATAAAATGCTTTCGTGTACACCAAAACACTTTAAAACCTTGCCTGGCACGTATGATAAATTCTAGAGAAGAGATGCCCCAGACCACCCTGCAATAAAGTGCCGAGGGTGTGTGCATATTGATGGTGCCGTTGATGCAAACGGCTCTTATTAATTGAGGAGGTCAAAAGTGATCTCTCTAGCCCAGCTGGTGTGGTTTAGTGGTTGAGCATCGACCTGTGAACCAGGAGGTCACAGCTCAGTTCCCGGTCAGGGCACAAGCCTGGGTTGCGGGCCCGATCCCCAGTGGGGGGCGTGCAGGAGGCAGTTGGTCAATGACTCTCTCTTATCATTGATGTCTCTCTCTCTCTCTCTCTCTCTCTCTCTCTCTCTCTTTCTCTCCCTTCCTCTCTCTAAAAACATAAGAAAAATCTTTTAAAAAGTGATCTCTCTGGCCTGCAAGGTGCGGGGGAGGGGAGCGAGGCCCAGCAAGGCCCTTGCACAGGCCTGGCTCCCCTCAGACTCCCCTAATTGTCCTCAAGAAGGCCAGCTGGGGCGGGGCACTGGTAAGAAGGAACCCTTACCACCCACATGTCCCTTCAGGTGTCTCAGCTGCACCCTCTCCAGGAGAAGAGATGGGTAGCACACCCACAACACCCTTGGACGTGGAGGACTGGATCACTACCCAAGTGGGACCCGGTGTGGCTGCTGTCCCCTTGGGGGAGGAGACAACTGCGATTCCAGATTTCACCGTTGAGCCAGAAAACCGCACGGGATGGGATCTAGCCTACACCCCAGCGGGCACCTTCCCACTGCCAGGTCTGGGTGGCCTTTTCTGCCTCAGAAGGTTGGGTTTTCAAGGATGGGGAACCCTTTTTCTGCCAAGGGTCCATTTGGATATTTATAGCATCATTCAAGAGCCATACAAAATTATCAACTTAAAAAATTAGCCTGCTGTATTTGGTCAGATATTTAATTAACTCTTCCTTAATGTGATGGTTGGAATTGCTTCTCTTTGATGAGGTCTTGGCAGGGCCAGACCAAGTGATTTCGGGCCGGACGTTCCCCATGTCTGGTTTAGATGAATGATTCTCACACTCGAGGGAGCATCAGCATCGTCAGGGAGGCCTATTAAATCACAGCTTGCTGCACCCACCCCAGAGTCTGATTCAGGGCAGGTGAGGGGGGCTGAGAATTTGCTTTTCTATGAGGTGATGCTGGTGCTCCTGGTCCAGGGACCCCACTTTGAGAACTATGGGTTTAGATTAATGAGACGAGGGTGTGGAAATACTTGAAGAGTAACCCTGATTGTCCTCAGTGATAGCCAGGCCCCCACCCCAGTGGGTTGTGTGGATGGCACCCCCTAATACTTCACAAAGCACAGCCTGAGGGTGCTGGGGAGTTTCTTGGTCTCCTTCCCTCCCTCCCTTCCTTTCTCCTTTCTTTCCAGGGGACTGTGCAAGGTTCCATTAGAAAATGTCTGAACACATCTCTGAGCTCTTGAAAGAAAAATTTTACTGTGAAGGGAATGGAATTCAGTTTCTCTGTATGAGCTTAAAATGGGGCAGAGTTACTAAATCCCCACCCTGTCTTTCTTTCTCCTTTCCTCCAGGGGTCCCTCCTACATGGCCTCCCACTAGTGCAGCAACAGAGGAGAGCACAGAAGGCCCTTCTGCAACACAAGTCCCCTTGGCCTCAGAGGAGCCATCCCCCTCGGAGGAGACATCCCCCTCAGAGACACCATTCCCCTCCGAGGAGCCGCTGTTAACGCCTTTACCCCCAGTGCCCAGTGGGATGGAGCTGCCCGGCTCTGGGGAGGCTTCTGGGATACCTGAAGTCAGTGGTGACTTCACAGGCAGCGGAGAAGCCTCAGGACACCCAGACTCCAGTGGGCAGCCATCGGGGGGAAGTGCCAGCGGACTGCCTTCGGAAGACCTTGACTCCAGTGGTGTCACCTCCTCAGTGGGCTCAGGCCTACCTGTGGAAAGTGGACTCGCCTCAGGTGACGAAGATAGAATTACGTGGTCCAACACTTCTCAAGTTGGTGAGCTGCCCTCTGGTGGTGAGGATCTAGAAGGCTCTGCTTCTGGAGTAGGCGATCTCAGTAGACTTCCTTCTGGAGAAGGTCCCGAAACCTCTGTCTCTGGAGTAGAGGACCTCACTGGACTTCCTTCTGGAAGTGAGAGTCATCTAGAAACATCTGCTTCTGGAATAGAGGACCTCAGTGGACTTCCTTCTGGAGGTCAGACTCATCTAGAGACTTCTACTTCTGGAGTAGAGGACCTCAGTGGACTTCCTTCTGGAGGTCAGACTCATCTAGAGACTTCTACTTCTGGAGTAGAGGACCTCAGTGGACTTCCTTCTGGAGGTCAGACTCATCTAGAGACTTCTACTTCTGGAGTAGAGGACCTCAGTGGACTTCCTTCTGGAGGTCAGACTCATCTAGAGACTTCTACTTCTGGAGTAGAGGACCTCAGTGGACTTCCTTCTGGAGGTCAGACTCATCTAGAGACATCTGCTTCCGGAGCAGAGGACCTCAGTGGACTTCCTTCTGGAGGTCAGACTCATCTAGAGACATCTGCCTCTGGAGCAGAGGACCTCAGTGGACTTCCTTCTGGAGGTGAGAGTCATCTTGAGACCTCTGCTTCTGGAGCAGAGGACCTCAGTGCGCTTCCTTCTGGAGGTGAGAGTCATCTTGAGACCTCTGCTTCTGGAGTAGAGGACCTCGGTGGACTTCCTTCTGGAGGTGAGAGTCATCTTGAGACCTCTGCTTCTGGAGTAGAGGACCTCGGTGGACTTCCTTCTGGAGGTGAGAGTCATCTTGAGACCTCTGCTTCTGGAGTAGAGGACCTCGGTGGACTTCCTTCTGGAGGTGAGAGTCATCTTGAGACCTCTGCTTCTGGAGTAGAGGACCTCAGTGGACTTCCTTCTGGAGGTGAGAGTCATCTTGAGACCTCTGCTTCTGGAGTAGGGGACCTTGGTGGACTCCCTTCTGGAAAGGAAGGTCTAGAGACCTCTGCTTCTGGAGCTGAGGACCTCAGTGGATTGCCTTCTGGAAAAGAAGACTTGGTTGGGTCAGCTTCTGGAGCCTTGGACTTTGACAGAATACCTTCCGGAACTCTAGGAAGTGGACAAGCTCCAGAAGCAAGTGGCCTCCCCTCTGGATTTAGTGGTGAGTATTCCGGAATGGACCTTGGAAGTGGCCCGTCCTCTGGTTTGCCTGACTTCAGTGAGCTTCCATCTGGGTTCCCAACTGTCTCCCTGGTGGATACCACGTTGGTGGAAGTAGTCACAGCCACCACAGCAAGTGAACTGGAAGGGAGGGGGACCATTGGCATTAGTGGTGCTGGAGAGATATCTGGGCTGCCCTTCGGTGAGTTAGACATGAGCGGGGGAGCTAGTGGACTCCCTTCAGGAGTTGGACTTGGTGGCCAGCCATCTGGATCTCCCGAACTCAGCGGGGAAACATCTGGACTCTTTGGTGTCAGTGGACAGCCATCGGGGTTTCCTGACATCAGTGGGGGAACATCTGGGCTTTTTGAGCTCAGTGGGCTGCCCTCAGGGTTCCCTGGGGAAACATCTGGAATGACCGAGCTCAGTGGACAGTCCTCTGGACTACCAAGCGTCAGTGGAGAAGCTTCTGGAGACCTTTTTGGTGGTGGCCCACCATTTGGCATGACTGACCTGAGTGGAGAAACATCTGGGCTCCCTGATCTCAGTGGGCAGCCATCGGGGCTGCCGGGCTTTAGCGGGACCACATCAGGAGTTTCTGACCTGGTTTCCACCACCATGAGTGGCAGTGGAGAATCCTCTGGCATTACATTTGTGGACACCACTTTCGTTGAGGTGACCCCGACAACATTTAAAGAAGAAGGTTTAGGGTCTGTGGAGCTCAGCGGCTTCCCTTCTGGGGAAACGGATCTCTCGGGAGCATCTGGGGTAGGGGATGTCAGTGGACAGCCTTCTGGAACCATCGACTCCAGTGGGTTTACATCCCAGCCTCCAGAGTTCAGTGGCCTACCCAGTGGAGTAACCGAGGTCAGTGGAGAAGTCTCTGGAGCTGAGGTGGGGAGCAGTCTGCCCTCGGGAGCGTATGACGGCAGCGGACTTCCATCGGGGCTCCCCACCGTCTCTCTGGTAGACAGAACTTTGGTGGAATCTGTAACCCAGCCTCCAACAGCACAGGAAGCAGGAGAAGGCCCATCAGGCATCCTGGAACTCAGCGGCACACCGGACATATCTGGAGACCATTCGGGATCTTTGGAGCTAAGTGGGGTGCCGTCTGGGCCGGTAGAGACCAGTGGGGAGCCATCGAGTACTCCGTACTTTAGTGGGGACTTTTCAGGCACCACCGATATAAGTGGGGATTCTTCTGCAGCCACCAGCACCAGCGGGGAGGCCTCAGAACTTCCAGAAGTTACTCTGATCACTTCTGAATTCGTGGAGGGTGTTACTGAACCCACTGTTTCTCAGGAACTCGGCCAGAGACCCCCTTTGACACACACACCCCAGACTTTCGAGTCCAGCGGAGAAGCTTCTGCATCGGGGGACACCAGTGGAGCTATACCAGGATTCCCCGGAGGTGGGGTAGAGACGTCATCAGTCCCGGAATCCAGCAGCGAAACATCTGCCTATCCTGAGCCTGGGGTGGAGGCGTCTGCTGCTCCCGAGGCCGGCGGAGGAGCTTCGGGGGTCCCCGATCTGAGCGAGACCACCTCCGCCTTCCCCGAAGCTCACCTGGAGGGAGCCTCGGGCCTGGGAGTGAGCGGCAGCACCTCAGCCTTCCAGGAAGGACCCACGGAGGGCTCCACCCCGTCGGGAATGAGTGGAGAGTCGACCAGCACCTATGACCTGGGCACAGAGACATCATCAGGCTGGCCCTCGGCCACTCCCGTGGCCTCTGGAGACAGGACTGAAATCAGTGGAGACCTGTCTGGTCACACCTCAGGGCTGGATGTTGTCATCATGGGCACCAGTGTCCCAGAGTTCGAATGGACCCAGCAGACCCAGCGGCCTGCAGAGGCGCATCGAGAAATGGAGTCGTTGAGCCCCTTGCACTCAGAAGAGACCCAAACAGCCGAAGGAGCCATCTTCCCGACAGACGCCTCCATCCCAACTTCTGCACAAGGGACCGAGGAATCGGAGGCGACCACTACAGGTATTGTGGGCTTTTTTTTTCTCTCTCTTTTAAATGTATTTGCGTAGTTCAGGTGGTAGCATCATAGGAGGTGGTGTAGATTCAAGGTTCTGAGCACAGCTCCCCCATCGATGGGCTGTGCAGCCTCAGACACGTTTCTTAACCCCTCTGATCCTCATCTGAGAAATGGAAATGGTACCAGGGAAGATTAAATGGCGTATAAAATATTATAAAACATGCGCTGAGCATCATACTTTGCACACAGTACAATCTTTGCTTTTTTGCATTTCATTGCCTCCGAGATGCTGTCACCAGCTAACTACTTTTCGTTTATCCAAATCGACAACAGTTTTTCTACCTCTTCAATTGCCTGCGATCGATCGTTGTTCCGTGAGAACCTTGACACCCTTAGCAACATTAGCACTCTTGATGGCCTCTTTTTTTTTTTACTGTTTTCAGAGAGAGAGAGAAACATCAATGATGAGAGAGAGTCACTGATCTGCTGCCTCCTGCATGCCCCCTACTGGGAATCGAGCCTGAAGCCTGGGCATGTGCCCTGATTGGGAAACAAACGCAACCTCCTGGTTCATACATTGATGCTCAACTGCTGAGCCACGCTGGCCAGGCCTCATGGCCTCTTTATGTTTTAAAATTATGCTAATGGCTGATTTCACCAGCAACAAAAGCATTCTCCCCTTTGTTAGTAGCCCAAAGCCCTCCCTGTCTTCTTCTACCTACCACCACCTTGGCCTGGGTCCCCTACTCCATGCTCACTCACAGCAGGGACCAGCCCAACCCCTGTCATGGTTCCAAAAGATGAGAAACGTCCTAACTGCCCTTCATAGAAAGAGGTGGCCATGCAGGGCCAGGGTGGCCAATAAGAAAGCCCTGCTCAGGACCCTCATCCCTCCTCCTACTGCTGCAGATGCTGACTCCCGGCCTCTCTAAACCGCCCCCTGGCACCCACAGGCTGTCTGGTCTTCAGGATCGTGGCCCTCCCTTCCCTCCTCATCTGTGAACCCAGGGCCCTGCACAAAATGCTTCTGAGCCCTGGATCTGGTTCCTTGAGTTTCAGTCCCCACCACCTTCTCAGATTCTCTGCCTTCCAAACACAGAAGGAAAAACAGTGCTGCTCCCTGGACCTCAGGCCACCTGGGGGTGGCAGATGTGAAATAGGCCGCTGGGACACCTGGAAGCCACCTGGCCTGGCCTCCCTCAGGGCCTCTGCCTTCCCTGCCCTCTCGTTCCTGGGCTGGCCAGAGGCCCCAGGGTTGACGTCTCCCCACAGGCCACTCCTGTCCCCTCCTGCCCCCCCGCTCTGTACAACTGCTTTAGCGCCTACATTTGCTTAATCCCCCCCCCCTTTTGCCCAGTGCTTCCCGTCTCCCATAATGACGCTAATGGACAAGAGAGGACAGTAATTTTCCTGAGGCAGGAGAGCCACCCCCAGCTTCTGCCCAGCCCACCAACCTGACCTATTGCTGCTACTGCTGCTGCTGGGAATCCAAGTGCATGCTGGGATGGCAGTCAGCTCCTCATGCATTTTGGTCTTGCTCGGGACAGTTCCAACAACAGTTCCAAGTTTGGAACTGTCGGCGTCTAGTGCGTGTCGTGCACTCCCCAAGATGCAGCTGAGAAGTTCATGGGAAGAGAGAGATGCCTGAGGACTTGAGACTATCCCGGCTGCTCATCGCACAGGCCCAGCTCCGGTCTAGACAATGTCTGCCAGGCCCCAGGGAAAACGATCATTTACCTTTTAATCAGAGGACTGACTTTAAGGCCGAGTCTGCTCTGGCGAGAGCTAAGTCCTGAAACATAGTCCCTGCTCATGGAGAGACCACCCCCAGCCACGTCAGTCCTAGAGGTTGTATGAGCACAGATGCATATATGAAGGCTGGGCCGCATGTCAAGATGCCCGATGAGCCAGGGGAACCCACCCATTCATTGCAGACTTTTTACTGATCTGGAAAAAGGAGCTTCACAATACCATGTATCATGTTCCCAGGAGGGGAAAAAAAACAACCAGCAGGAGCCTTTGGAGCACACAAAGCAAGGTCTCTGGCTTCTCAGAAAGACCAGATTAGGAAATGCAGTTCTTACCTTGACCCATGGGGGAAAATTTGAGGCAGAGGCCAATGACTTACCCATTCGAGTCCTACAGAGAAGTTGGATCAGAAAGAACACGTTGGACCAGAAGATCAGAAGGGAACAGAATACCTGGGAGAAGAGGCCAACAGGGACCTGCCTGTGTCCCGCCCGTGCCGGTGTTGGTGGGCAGCCACTTACTAGGTACTTCACCGGCCTCATCTCTCTCCGGCCAGGATGGAGCCCCTCTAGAAGTTTTGACTCACTGGTGTTGAATCAAACTCAACTGGGCCCTTAAACTCAAAGGAGGCTGCATGGGGACACATTGGGCTGGGTTTCTGTCACTGCCTCCAAGAGAACAGATACTCGAGAATCTTATCTACTAAAGACAAGAACGGTGCTGTCTACAACCCAAAGATGTTCACAAGTCCCATGCGAGCATCCCATACTGCCATCTTCTCATAGTTCTGTGCTCTGCAGACCACTCATTCATCCTAGCAACTGCATGGACCTTTCCCTCTTCCCTGGGTGCATGACTGGAGGAAAACCAAGAGTTCTGGCCAAACCTCAAGAACTTGACTTCCAATGTCCTTGCTCACTGCCACGCTGAGCAAAGTCAGACCCCCCTGGCTTCCTGAAGTAGTCTCAGGAGAAGGCATCTTGCAGGAACTCCAAGCTTCGGAATTCACAGCTGCAGGTCAGGTGTGATCCAGCAGCACCCTGCCCCTGAGCACATACCACCCTGGGGCCTTGGTTGGTCCTTAGCCGTGGGTCAAGCAGCTCACTCTCCCCAGTAGGTATTTGGCTATTGGGTGAAGCACCAAAGCCCTTCACCCACTGGGAAACGAGCCGGGCTCCCATGCTCAGCGTGCCCATCGAGAACCACACGCGTCCAGGATAACTCTTGCTGGATCTTTGGCTCAGCTCTAAGACGGCGGCGGCAGCAGCAGCAGCAACAGTTCATGGGAAATGCAGCCATGCGGAGGCCGCAGTGGCTTGTGAAGCTGGAGGAGCCGCCGGCGGGCGTCCTAATGGTGGCCCTTCGTTTCTTGCAGACATTGATGACTGCCTCTCAAGCCCTTGTCTGAATGGAGCCACCTGCGTGGACGCCCTGGACTCTTTCACATGCTTATGCCTTCCCAGCTACCGAGGGGACCTGTGTGAGATCGGTACGGCCGTCTCGGCTTCAGCTAATGTTACTAACCGCTGCAGCCCCTCCTCCTCCACCCGCACCCTTCCCTTCTAACCGCAGGATCTAGGCCCTGGCTGGGGCCCCCACGGTCCATCCAGACAGCCAGTGTGGGAGCCACAGTGAGAAGTCCGCCCCCACTCACTCCAGGTCCTCCTCTTGCTGTTTCCTATAAAGACTCACCTCCAGGGCATTGGCTGATCCGAGTGCAGGAGAGATGGGCAGGCCGGGCCAGCCTGCCCTGCCCTGCCTGGGGGGGCCTTTAAAACACAAACCTCCTCCCGGGCTCCCAGACCCCCTGATGCCACCGTCAGGGTCTATACAGGTACCAGACTAAGAAGACAGGACCAATTCCACAAGTTGGTCTCAGAGGAAGCCATGAGCGGGAGTAACTGGCTCTCACCTGGGGTGACAGCCATGGGTCTTCCTTGTGTGGTCTTGGGCACGTTGTCTGCTGCTTCACCGCCTGTGGGAGGGACTTCAGTGGCCCCTCCTGGCTTTGGGAGCCACCGTGCCACACCGGCCACACTGCTTCCTCTTCTCTGGCAAGAGCTATGGTCTGTCTGCCTGAGAGCTGTCTCATCACCAGCATGCTCCGGTCATGCATGAGCAGGGACTACTGCATGTCACCCTCTACTTGTCACCACTGTGACCGAGGCCGTGTCAATGCCGCTCTGGCCCACACTTCCTTCCTCCCTCCCTCCCCTGTGCAAGGCAGAGGGCCAGCCAGAGAAAACAGAGCCTCGTTGCAAGGGGCAGGGGCTGAGTTCTGTCTCTTGGGACCTTGCCAACTCCTCTACTTCTGCCCCTGGGCCAGGCTCTGCCCAGGGCAGCTGTGTGCCAGGCCGAGCCCCCACCAGGGGCAAGGTCCCAAGAGACTCAGAATGGGAGAGATGAGAATTACAGTTGCTAATAGCAACAGCCCGCATAGAACTGGAAGTGTGCAGGGGCTTAAAACCAAGTTTAACGTACTCTCAGGTTGGACATTCCAGAAACTTCCAGAAAGCAGCAGAAACTCCTGGGAACTGTCCCTTTGGTCCTCAACTGTGTGAGAGGCGGTTTCCGATTGCATGTTCCTTGGAGGCATTGCCAAGGTCACAGGCTGGTGGAGGAACTTACAGCATCTGCAGGAAAAGGCCTGAGTCTTCCTCTTCCATGCAGCCTCCCATCTTTCACTTTCACCCCCGAGTCCCCAAGAAATTGGTGCATGGGGTCTGGGGTGGGAGGAGAGAGTTATCAGGATTTTCTCCCCCAGATGCCAACACATTTGTCATCAGGGAGAAAAAAAGGGTCTGGAAGGTCCATACAGACCACAGCTCTCAGGTGCCAAGCTGGGAGAAGGGGTGTCCTGCAGGAGTGGAAGCAGGGCGCTCACAGGCCTCTGCGGCGATGGGGCAGAGAGATGGCACCAGGGTCGCCCAGCTGGGCCCTGGACCCAGGCACCCAGCTAAGCAGGGCTGCATCTCCTGTTCCAGCCCTGAGCCCCCACTCCCCCCAGTCCTCAGCCCTCCTGCTGCTCTGCCCCTGTCTCCCCACCTGCCATGCCTGCACCCCTGCAGCCTAAGCCTCCCTCCCCTCAGAACTGGTCCTCTCTTCCTGGGAAGCCAGAGTCTCCAGGAGGTTCTCATACAGCCCCAGGGCCCTAGGGGCGGCCTTCACCGGGGAGGCCCATGGGAGACAGAAGAGAGGGTCTTGGAATTCCCTCCATCCAGTGCTGTGCTGGCAAACGTTTATCAACGGCTCTCGGAAAGGAAGGGGGAGCCCTCCTTTGTACCACCCGCCAGCTTCTGAGGGTTAAAACTCCCACCCGGACCCATGTAGAGCTGCCATTGTGATGTCGCTGAAGGCAGAGCTGGAAGAACACATGCGTAGTGGCTCCCCCAAACCTGAGAAAGCCAGCCTCAGCACGCCCCGGCCTCTGTCCCCTAGGCTGCCCTGAGAGCTCCAAACTCAGAGCCCCCCGTCCAGAATTCAGAACCTGTGATCCATAGAGCTCTGGGAGGAGAGAGGCTCTTCCCTGCACCTCACTGCCACCAAAAGAGAAAATCAATAGCCAGGACCTGCCCCCCCCCTCTTTGGCTGCCTTGCCCATTAAGTGGCAGGACAGTGCGCTGAGCTGGAGCCAGCTCTGCTGGGCAGACTTAGCATTCTGCGTCCCCTTTGGACCCAAAGCAGACTTATTTCTGCCCCTCTGTCCCCACCCCAGGTCCCATGCCGTGCCCCCAGCTCTGCCTGCTCCTGCCTCTGCTGCCTTCACCCACCTCCCCACAACCCCCTCTCTCCCTGGAGACCCTCAGAGCCTCCGAATTGAGCTTTGCCTTAAAGCTCCCCACCTCCCATATTCCCACCTCTTTTGACTTGGTCCACTGATGTCTGGAGAGAAGCTTTCTGGGGGGGTGAAGGGGGCGACATCAGGGAAAGAAAGGGTCCCTGGCGTTTCCGGGGGTGGGGGAAACGTGCCCAAAAGCTCCAGGAGCCGGGGCCAGGCCTCCCAGGCTTCTAACCGGAGCCTCCGTCCAGCTGGGCCCCGCCTTTGAGGGTGAGACTGGCAGCCTCGGCCCCTCCCTTCAAGTCCTGCCCTGTGTTCCAGACCAGGAGCTGTGCGAGGAGGGCTGGACCAAGTTCCAGGGCCACTGTTACCGTCACTTCCCCGAGCGGGAGAGCTGGGTGGATGCTGAGAGCCAGTGTCGAAAGCAGCAGTCCCACCTGAGCAGTATTGTCACCCCCGAGGAGCAGGAGTTTGTCAACAGTGAGTATGGCTGGGTCTTGGGGGCAGCCTGAGAGGAGAGTGGCCGCGTGGGCAAAGGGCCTCACTTGCCAGCAGCCAGCAGACTTGGACCCAGTGAGGCTGCAGGGGTGGGGACAGGGAGGGAAGGAAGGGCTTTTCCCAGCCCGAGTCCCTGGAGAGAAGAGGAAAGGCGTCTTTGGAGCCAAGGGCTCCCACTGCACCCAGGACAGCCCACTGTCTGTCAGCGTCAGCCCCAGAATAACCCCGTGGTGGTCACTAGCCTGTGCCAGCTTGCAGAGGTGGTTAAAGGCACTCCGGTTGTGCACGGGCTGAGACCCTTGTCAGGACCCCAGAAGCAAGTGGCATCTCCTCAGAGCCCACCCACATCCCGCCACCCCTCTGTCCCCTCTGCCTCTGTAAGCCCCAAGTTTCTCAGATGTCCCCCAGGGCATTCAGTGCCACCCCAAACACCGTGTTCTCTCTCCAGACAATGCTCAAAACTACCAGTGGATCGGCCTGAATGACAGGACCATCGAAGGGGACTTCCGCTGGTCAGACGGACACTCCTTGGTGAGTTCTGCCAGGGGCCCCTGGACAGAGTTGGTGACCCCAAAGAGGGGCATAAAGACCCCCAGGGAGAGAGACACATTCCAACCACACACACACACACCCTGAGTGGCTGCTGCACTGGGCACCCGCAGCAGGGACAGCGTCCAGTTTATCTCTGCCTCTGGACACCAGCCTGGGGCTGGACGAGTTGCATGAATGACCGGGTGACGGAAGGAGGGGAGCGAGGGCAGTGAATGAATGCCGGCAAACCACCCTGAGAGACATGGAAGCTTTAGAGGGGTTCCTTGCCCACAGAGGACTCGAGTCGACTCAAGGACACAGAGAAACAGACCAAATGAACAATACACGCAGGGAACGCTGTCGGTCTGTGCAGGACCTCAAGGAAGGCTTCCAGGAAGGGGTGGATGTGAAAAGGTCCCCGGGGAGGGGATTAGGTGCACTAGAGGACAGGGGACTCTGTTTGTCTGCCCCAGAGCCAGGCTGGAGGGACAAGCCTGGGGAGGCAGGGTAGAACTTGGGAACCGTGTCTCTGCCACCCCAGTCCTACCCAAGCGAGGCAGCCTGTGTACCCATCCCCTGCTGGCTTATATGGAACCAGGGGGATGACATCACCCAAGGCTGCTGACCAGACTCCCAGCAGCCTTTGCAATGACGCCAGAAGAGAAAGGAGACTCGGGTGGGACTTGACGGGGCAGGGAGTAGAGGTTAGGCCCAGTCACGGGGCTCCTGCCCCCTCCTCACCCCTTCCCCGCTCCCACCGTAGCAATTTGAGAACTGGCGCCCCAACCAGCCGGACAACTTCTTTGCCTCGGGAGAGGACTGCGTGGTGATGATCTGGCACGAGAAGGGCGAGTGGAATGATGTGCCCTGCAACTACCACCTGCCCTTCACCTGTAAAAAGGGCACAGGTACACCGGGCCCAGGAGGGATCCGGGTGGGAGGAATCCAGACTTGAAGATAAGTTTCCTGCTGTGTGAGTCACCTTCTCTCCTGGCTGCTGATGTCGCCTCATTGTCACCAGCAGATTGGAATGAATT